TCATGCTTTTTGGGGGGCATCTGCTTATTATTTAAATCCTTATAATGTTTTTTATTTTACTTATTTGCATATCTATCTTTCCACTTGACTGTAAGCTTGAAAATGTAAGAATATTTCCTCAAAATGGTACCCTCACCACTAGCAGAGTATTTTTCACAAACTTCTGCTCACTAAATTTTCCAGAATGAATATGCCTTTCTTCTGCTTGAAACTTCCAGTGTGTGCTTATTGTCTATTAAATAAAATCAAACTTACTTACCTTTTATTAAATATTCTTCAAGAGTTGGGCCATACCTAAAATGTATTCATTTGTTTCTACATTCACCCAACTAGTGATTCAGTCGATAATTATTAGACTTCCCTTGAATGCCAGAAGTAGTGCAGGCCTAGTTTATGGCCACCTGCCCTCACAGAGCATAAAATCTAATGGTGGATGCTGAGAATTAGGCTGGAAATCACAATTAAAGGTAAAAAGTATGCTACCCTAAAGAGAAACAAAGTGCCCTAGGGACATGTACCTCTGACATTGTCTCCCCTCAGAGAATCAGAGGGTTGCCTGAAAAAAAAAAATGTCATCCCATCTTACACTTGGAGAATAAACAGAAAGCATAGGAGAATAGGAAGCAAGGAGAAGGTAGGAGACTGGACCAGATGTTAAATGAAGAGCAGAATATTTTAATTGTAATGAGCAAAGTGGGGACAGTATCAGAAGATGAGGCTGAATGAGAAGGCCTAGGTTAGAATAAGTTGAGGGGTTTCCTGGCCAAATCTAGATATTGGAACACTCTTCATTGTGAATAATAGAATAGTAGGGAGAAAAAGAAGATGTGTAAGGTTCTTGGTGTAATTAAGAAAGAAAGGGTGTTGGCCTGAATAGAAGTAATGTACAATTAGAATTAAGAGTAGTGGTCAGATTCTGAAAATGTTTAGTAAATAAAATCAGTGCAGTGTGAATTGAGTTGGGGAATAAGACACAAAGAAGGCAGAAGAAGTTTAATATCATAACATTTTGCTGCCTTCCTGCACTTGGAAGTTAGGTATTATTTTTTACTGTATGGAGGAGAAAATGAAGGATGGAAATAGAAGAAAATTAGCAGTTCAATTTTAAAAGTTCAATTGAATGAGGTTGTGGGATAATTTTAAGTGAAGTCTCATTGTTGGACATATGGGTTTCCATATAGGATCCACATCTGGGCTGATCTGTAAATTTAAGTAATTTATTTATTATTTTAAACTTATAATTGATGCTATGAGAATTTATAGATTATGAAAAGAAGATCTCAAGTCAAATGTCTTGAATTGTTTTTTATAAAAATTATTTTATTTATTTAATTGGAAAATAAATATTTTATATACTTATGTACAAAATGATGTTTGAAATATATATTGTAGAATCCCTAAAGGGCTAAATAACATATGCATTACCTCACATGCTTATCTTTTTTTGTGATCACAGCACTTAAAATTTACACTGTCAAACAATTTTCAAGAATACATCACTAACTATAGTCACTGTGTGGTGCAATAGATTTCTTAAACTTATTTCTCTTATCTAATTGAAATGTTGTTTCCTTTGATCAACATCTCCCCAAACTTCCTGTCTTCTCCTAATCACCACCATTCTACCTTCTGCTTTTATGAGTTTAACTTTTTTAGAGTCTACACATCAGTGAGGTCATATAGTATTTGTTTTTTGGTGCCCATCTTGGTTTATTTTATTTAATATAATATTATCCACGTTCATCAATGTTGTCACAAATGACAGGATTTTTTTCATTTCTCTAAAGCTGAATACTGTTGCATTACGATATTTTCTCCATCCATTCATCCATCTACAGATACTTAGGTTGATTTTTATATCTTGCCTATTGTGAATAATGCTGCAGTCACAATGGAAGTGTATATGTCTTTTCAACATACTTACTTAATGTTTAAAATATATACTAAATATTTGGATTGCTACATCATTTTTAACATTTTTAATTCATTTTAATTTTTAACTTTTTGAGGAGTTTCCTATTGTTTTTCATTATGACTGTACTAATTTATATTTTCACCAACAGTATATTAGAGTTCCTTTTTTTCTACATCATTTCCAACACTTGTTATCTTTCTTTTTATATAATACCCATTGTAATCACTCTAACAGGTGTGAGGCAATATCTCATTGTGGTATTAATCTCCCTAGTGATCAGAGATGTTGAGCATTTTGTATATACCTGTTGTCCGTTTATGCATCTTCCTTTGAAAAATGTCTATTTTGGTCCTTGATACATTTTGTAATATTTATTTTTTTCCTATTGAATTATGTTTCTTATATATTTTGAATATTAATATCTTATCAGATATATGTATTCAAATATTTACTCCTATTCTGTTGGTTGTCTCTTCACACTCCTGTTTCCTTGGCTTTGCAAAAGCTTTTTAGTTTGATGTAATCTCATATCTTAATTTTGCTTTCTTTTCCCATGTTTTTGGTGTTACATCCAAAAATCATTGTCTATACCAATGTCATTAAGCTTTCCCATGTTTTCGTGTAGTAGTTTAATAGTTTCAGTTATTAGGCTTATGTTTTTAATCCATTGAGTTGATTTTTGTATATGATGACAGATAAGGGCCCAATTTCATTCTTCTGCTCTTGGATATTTAATTTTCCCAACATCATTTATCGAAGAAAATGTCCTTAGCCTATTGTGTGTTCTTGAAATTTTGTCAAAAATAAATTTACTACAAATAACTGGGTTTATTTCTGGCCTTTTTGTTCTATTCCACTGTTCTCTGTGTTTGTTTTTATGCCAGTACTATGTTTGATTATTATAACTTTGCAGTATATTTTAAAGTCAGGTTGTGTGCTGCCTCCAGTTTTGTTCTTTACTCAAGAATGCTTTGGTTATTTGAATTTTTTCATAATTCCATATGAATTTTAAAGTTGATTTTCCTATTTCTGTAAAAAATGCCATTGGAGGTTTAATAGGAATTGTATTGAATTCATAGATTTCTTGGGTAGTATAGACATAATAATATTTTCCAATTCATGAACACAGGGTATTTTTCCATTTTTATGAATCTCATTCAGTTTCTTCTGTCAATGTTTTATAGTTATGAGTATATACGTCTTTAACTTTTTGGTTACATTTATTCCTTATTATTTCCTGAAATTTTTTTATAGCCATTATCAATGAGATTTTTATTATCCAATTTTTTAGTTTGTTGTTATTATAAAAATGATACTAATTTTTGCATGTTGTTTTTGTATCCTTCAACCTTACTGTATTTGTGTATTAGTTCTAACAGATTTTTGGTGGAGCATTTAGGGTTTTCTTAATATATGTAAGATCATGTCATTCATAAACAGGACACATTAACTTCTTCCTCTCCTATTTTGATGTCTTTAAATTCTTTCTGTTGTCTAATTCTTCTGGTTAGGATTTCTGGAATAGAAGTGGTGAAAGTGGGTATGTTTGTCCTCTTTCTAATTTTTGAAGGAAAGCTTTTATCTTTTTACCACTGAGTATGATGTTAGCTGTGTGTTTGTTATATGTGGCATTTATTGTGTTGAAAACCTCTTTAGGTTAATTGCTTATCATATTTCTCCACATATTCATTCAGTCAATACTATATTAGTTTACTAAGCATGCAAATAAGTTAAACAGGACTTCGGAACTCAGATAGAGTAGACATTCCATAAACTAACCTGTGTACTCTTTGCAAATCTTCACATTCTCTGTTCCGACACCTACCTAGCATTTAAAACCAACGTTTTTGTTTTGTCTTCTAAGAAGCCTCTGTAAACTCTCCTCCTGGAATTTTCTCATCTTTTCTGAATTCCTTAAGCATCTTATCTGTGTTCTCTTAAGAAGCTCTCCATCAACTGTCATGTAATGTAGTTTGATGACTTAAGAGTTGGGGCTCTGGATTCTGAACACTTGTACTTCTGTTCCTACTCCGGAGTTACTATATACTTTGTTTTCTTTTCACAAGATTACACTCAATTTCTTAAGTAACTTATCTGTATATGTTTCCTTTTCCATATAAAAGAGCTTAATATACATTTTGCATGGGGTTTTTGTGAAATTTCAGTAAAACACTTGACCTCATGGGGGTTCAACATGTATTAACTATTATTACTGAAAGCCTGTCATGGTTAACTCTATGGAATGTGGTGTAAAAATAGGATTTGAAACCTAATTCATGTGATTTAGGGCAACCTATTATTTAAATGATTTATAAAATTGATAAAATAATAAATATTCTACTGGTTTATTGTGAGGGTCCAGTATACTACTATTTGTAAAATACTTAGAAGAGAGATTTGTAAATAATAATGATAATTACTGATGTGATATAATAATAATAATGATAATTACTGATTTATTGTATCACTTTAATAATGATATTACTGATTTATTGATTCTAATAATAATGATAATTATTGATTTATTAAATCATTATAATAATGATAATTACTGACACTATTAATAATCGTGATAATTACTCATATGATATAATGATAATGATGATTGTCATTGCTATATGAATTCATTTTCAATCACAAAAAATACATAGGAGATGTTACATTTATTATATGCTATTAGGTAACTTTTTCTCCTGTTTTGTAACTTCCATGTGTCTTTCTAATAATGGTTGGTTCATTATTGACATATGAACTCAAGATAACCTGGAAAATGAGTCTGGTACTTCTGGGCCAAAATTTTGTTCAATGTCCTGACATGTTTTCTTTAGAAAATGTATTTTGCGTGAAAGCTATCCTTATATCTAGATGAACTAGATAACAATCTTCATAGAGTTAACTGAGAAGACAGGAGATATCTGGCTTTTCCACATACAATCTGCTTAAATCATATCTCTTGTATTGAAATAAATGATTTATTACTTTGATATATATGTATATATCATATATATAAGTATATATATGTAGATATATATAGATATATATAGATATTTCCTGGTAAAAATTTGAATTATGCCAAGGAGTAATTCAATAACTCAGTGTCATATTAATCTACCATAATATTTGTTAAATATTTTCAGTTCTAAATTTTGGTTTGAAAAAAGACGCTAAAGAATTAGGTATCCAGATGCATTTACCCACTGAATGATTAAGTTGGATGCTTACTTATGTATTCAGCAAGCAGATTAAGTACTTTTAAGCATTTTGAGCAGAAAATTCTTAATTAGCACTATTGGGTATAGCTTGTGTGTTAAAAAATGCAAATTCAAAGATATAGTTATTTCACCAAGGAAGCTAAATACAGAGAAAAGGAAAGATCCTACAGTCTAGTAGGAATAATTTGCAGTCTAGACAAGAGAATGGACTGTCCTGGATGCACACATTTCAGGTAGATCATCATGAGCTTTGAGCAAGAGAAAGAGAAATCTGAATACAGTGGATGATCAGGAAATTAGCCTTAGGCCCAATGCCGCAGAAAGGAAAAAGACAAGCTATAAAAACCAAATTTAAATGGCAATGAATTGTTAAACACAGCCTGGTAGGAATTTGATGGGTCAGAGAATGCTACAGGTACAAAGAAATAGTGAGTATTTGTTGAAGACATGGTAAGACAGAAGGTATTTTCAAGGATGTTTCACATAACAGAGTTTTGTCTAAAGCAAGGGCAAAACTCTTTAAGCTATGCCCATATTTGAAGGAGTCTTTATATTCCTGACAGAAGACAGCGGCAAACAAAACCTCCATAAGAATTTAGAAGCTCTGTTCAAACGTGCCTTTCGGAGTACATCAGATAACTCGGTGAAAAAAAGATTTCTCGAATTGAAGAAAGAGGAAAAGAAAAAACAAAAGAAAAAAAAAGAAAGAGGAAAAGAAGACGGGCCCCTCGTGACAAACCACATGCCAAAGGACAACATGGCTGAACAAACATCTATGCAGATCCTATCTACTACGAATCAAAAGTCGACCGGTGTAAAAAGTAAGACTGGATATTTTACAACGGATATCTCCAATGTTTTAGAATCGATTCAATTCTAAGACCCATGCAGTGACTTCTGTGATCCCTCATCCTACCTTTATGAAACTATCATTTTCACTAAACCTATAATTTTTCTTTCAGGGACTACCTTGTCTTTTGTGGGGTGGGATCCAGTTTCCAATTGGCTAGAAGGCTGAGTCCTTGGGTTCAGATTGTGCATGGAAATAATTAATAGTAGAGGCTTGTAGTAAGACATACTCAAACCTAAACCTAGATTCTGTCATTAATAATCTATGTGACTTCCTGCATGTATCTTAACTTCTCTTGCTCCCAAATCATCAGTCTTACTGCCCATGAAATGAGGACAATTTCAGTACTTTCTCACAAGACTGTGGAAGGTTAGAAACATTGTGCTGGTAGGCATCAACATGCCAGCAACTCCCAAGATGTTAGCTGTCATCCAGAACTCCCCTCTGAGCTCCAGACTCATTTAGCTCTAGATGCATTTCCAGCAATTCCGCTCCAGTGTTTCATTGGCTTTATTAAACTAATTTTTACCTAAGAATTAAACACTTTTTCTTCTAAACAAATTTGTTCCAACTTTAACCCCTTTCCATTTTAGGAAAGGAAACTAGTATATATCAAATTTCTCCCACCAGAATGCAACTGGTTGCTTTACCAATGACTGGCAGTAATTGGTAGAAGGACAGGCACAACAATTTATCACTGATATCTACATTTTCCAATAACATTTCAAATTAAGCTAAGGTGTAGTAATTAACCTGATGTCACATAAATTCACCATGCTAGATTGGTTGTCATATTATTTTCAATTTCAAATTTTGATTGAGGAAAAGATCCTAAAAAATTAGGACTGTAGATGCAGTCATCCATTTGTTCATTAAGTCATGTATTCAGCAAGCATGCTAAGTACTTTTAAGCGTTTTGAGCACAAAGATGTTAATGAGCACAAAGATGTGGGTATAGGATGTGTGCTAAAAATGCACATTAAAAGGTATGGTGTTTTCCCCAAGGAAACTAACTACAACAAAGAGGCCACATTGTATAGTTTAGTAGTATTTACAGTCTAGACAAGAGCATGGACTGTCCTGGGAGTGTGCCTTTCAGGTAAATCATCATCATCATGAACTGGGAACAAGAGAAAGAGAAATATGAAAACAGCAGGTGACCAGGAAGTTAGCATTACGCCCAGTGCCACAGAAAGGAGAAGAAAAGCTATAAAAACAAATTTAAGAGGAAATGAATTGCTAAGCACAGTCTGGTATGAATTTGATGGGTGAGAGAACTCTGCAGGTGCAAAAATAAGGGTGTGTTATTCGTTGGGGACATGGTAAAATAGAATGTATTTTCAGAAGAGTTTCATATTACAGAGTTATGTCTTAGGTGAGGGCAGAACTCTTTAAGCTGTGCCCATAGTTAAAGGAGTCTTTCTCTTCCTGACAGGAGACAATCGCAAAAAAGAAATACTTAAGGTGTTGGAATACCTGGGCAAAGATATGCTTCATGGTGTTTTTAATCATTTGGCAAAACACGATGTTCTGACATTGAAGGAAGAGGAAAAGAAAAAATATTACGATGCCAAAATTGAAGACAAGGCCCTGATCTTGGTAGACTCTGTGCGAAAGAATCGGGTGGCTCATCAAAGGTTTACCCAAACCCTTCTCAATATGGACCAAAGGATCACCAGTGTAAAACGTAAGGCTGCATCTAACACAATAAAGATGTTAAATTTTCCAGAATATATTCAACTCCAAGGCCCATGCAGTGTTATCTGTGATCCTCCTACACTTTCATTTCTAAACTCTCATTTTCAGTAAACATGTCATCGTCCTGTTAGAGACCACCTTATCTTTTATGGAATGGGAACAAATTTCCAATTAGCCAAAAATCTGTGTCCTTGTGTGTAGACTGTGCACAGAAATAGGTAATAGGGGAGATTTTTTAGTAGGGGATACTTAAACCTAAAGTTAGATTCTGTCACATGTGAACTATGCAGCTTCAGGCAAGTTTCTTAACCTTCCATTCTCCCTAGTCATCAGTCTTACCACCTGTGAAATGTGGACAATTCCAGTACTTTCTCACTAGACTGTCTACAGCTAGAAACATTGTAATGTCAGGCACCACATGCCAACAACTTCCAAGATATTAGCTCTCATAACTCTCTCATCTGAGCTCCAGACTCATTTAGCTCTAGTGGCATATTCAACAATTCTGCTCCAGTGTTTCACTGGCATCACAAAATGAATACAGCTAAAATTAAACGCTTTGTTTTCCAGAATAAACGTGCTCCACTTTTAACCCTTTTCCGCTTCAGTAAAAAGAAGTAATAAGCACCAAGTTTCTGCTACCAGAATGTAACTGGTTTCTTCACCAATTAATAAGAGAAATTAATGGAGATCCTGGCACATAGCAGATACCTAATTAATGTGTGATGAATAAACAAATGAAGTGTATGCATGCAATAAAGAGTGCTTTCTTAATTATTATTTGGGCACCACAAATTAGAATTTTCCAATGCTTACTCATTTCTGTGAGTTACAAAATTATGATCAGGGAACTACTATAAAATGTTTAAATTTTATAACAGTTCAAAACCTTTGACACAGATTGAATTATCAGAATTATTAGAGCCTAAATACTCTCAGATTAATGTTTCCCAGGGATGAACTCAATTTACCATAGACTTTAAACTGAAATCTTCAGCCCTGAACTACTACAGTTTACCAATAATCATATATGATCATGAACACAAAGCAACATAAATTGTTCAAACGTCACTACACAAAATAAACTCCCCTTCTCTATGGGGAAAGTTTCCCCTCAACAGAAACCACATGCTAGTATAGTTGTCCAAGATTTTAGGCCAGGATGCATTCTTATTAGTATTTAAACTGGTCTTTTGCAAGTATTTTCCTTTTCCTCAAACCTGGAATGGCAGGGGGAAAATATTCGTTTTAAAAAATCAGAGATAATGCAGCAAATAGGAATCATATTTGTAGCAATAAGGGCTTCAAAATGATTTTAGCAATCCCAGATATCATATATGATGAGCACTAAACTATAAACTGAAATAGCCTATCTGATCAGCAGAGGCTGTGGCAGGAAGGAGGCAGCTGCAAATCCCTGCAGCAGGGGTCCAGTGGTTCCCTGCACTCTGTCTGCATTTGGATTCTCCAGAAAGATCAATCCCAGAACACTTTGAGTACACTGGCCCAGCATACCAGGAAGCTGGGTGGGCTGGGCTATTAGAAGGGGTACAGGCCTTGGACAGGTCTTTGGATATGATTGTAATTCTGAGGGTTTCCAGCAGAGCATTGGATTCTGGAGGGCAGGATAAGAAGAATCCTAGCTATTCGTTTGTTATTTAACAAAGTCTTGTATGTACACACACACACACACACTTATGTACACATATATGTACACACACACACATATATACACATACACACACTATATATCAATGATGTGATTTAGTCAGAGAGATAACCATGTAAGTCCCTACGTGATGTGGGAAATTGCTTTTCTGATCCTGTACCACTCCACCACTCCCTTTCTTGTGTCAATGTAAAGAGATTGTTGAGCAGATTCCTGAGAGATTCCTGTTTCATTAGATAACAGATAAGACTCAAATTGAAATTTTTATCTAAACTCCTGATTTCCACATTACTTCTTGTTGCCCTGCCAGGCTAATAGAAACTCTCTTTGGAAGCAGATTGTACTATAATATTTATTATTTTGTAATAAAATAGTATTTTTATACTAATTCTACTACTGGATATAAGATAGAATTTCTCTCTAATTTCTAATTTTACTGGAAAACACCTGTTCTACACACAGACACATAAAAGTCATTAGGAGATGACTGTTAAGTTGGAAGTTCTCCAGACCTTTAAACAGGAAAACATACCCTCAGACCAGGAATATCCCAGGACCCTGGATGTCTTCACATTGGCAGAATTTTCTGAAATGAGAAGAAAAAGCATCTGTCACTGTTTAATCTATGAAAAAATTGATGCTTAGAAGGTTTGGTTTCCTTACACACTTATAACTTATTGTATTCCCAGAACTCAGGCTTTTATCATACACTTTAGCAAGACATTTACTTTAAAATATTATTAAAAATGAACAGAAACAAATGATAGAAATATAAAAAATACATGAAATATTACAAAACAATGCAAATTTTATACAGAATAATATTACTTTACTCATGATTCCTATGTCTTGGTTGGATCACTTAACCAAACATAAAAATATGCCTGTCCATTCCTTTTATGAAAAGAAATCTTCTTATTAGATCTTAGTAAACTTTTCTTCTAGTTTGTATATGTAAATTCCTTTTTCTTTTCCAGAAGGAGGGCTCAATAATCTCCCAGTTTTTCGCACAATATCGGTTAAAAGAGATCAATATTACATTTCACAAGGGGATAGATCAGAATTGCTCAGAAGCAAACTTATCCAAAAGAGATGTATTATTTCCTCACGTTATAAAATATGAGTTGGACAGTGTTGGCTGCTCCAGCAGTTTAGAGACAAGATGTCCAGAGTTATGTCAGAATCTCATACAAACATTTGTCTCTTTGACCTTGGACACAGTACTACTGTCACTAGACGACATTTCTTCATAAATAGGTGATTTCACAATTTGTTGAAAGATAGCTGAAGCCTATTTCCTCTAGAAAAATTAGTAATTAACATAAAGGTTGCTTAAAAATTACCAGGATGGTACAGAATTCAATATTCTGTTAAGTGTTTGCTGTATGCATATATCTGTATGTAGTGTGAACTAGGAGGGGACTATCACTCCAAAACACGATGTTGTCCCATCCAGTTTTGTAGCCACCAGACAGATGTAGCTATTAAGTACTTAACTTGTGGCTAGTGACACATGTTGAAATAATAATATTTTGAATATATTATTTAAATAAATACATTATTAAAATTATTTTTACCTTTTGTAAATGTGATATTAGAGAATTTAATATTGCACATGGAACACACATTGTATTTCAAATAGATAGCACTCGGACAAGTATTAGCACACTCTTGCCCCGACACAGCAAAAAGTCCAAATAAAATAAAGTGAGACCTTAGGGTAAAACACACGGAAAAATCAAACTGTTTTTCTGAATATAGAAAAGCCAAATTTTTTTTTTTTTTGTTTTTTTTTGAGACGGAGTCTTGCTCTGTCGGCCCAGCGGAGATGGCCACTAGGGCCGGATGTCGTCAGCTCACTGCAAGCGTCCGCCCTCCCAGGGTTTACGCCATTATCCTGCCTCAAGCCTCCCGAGTAGCGCTGGGTCACTACAGGCGCTCCGCCAACCTCGCCTGGCCTAGTTTTTTTTTTTTTGTATTTTTTAGTAGAGGATAAGGGGTTCACCGTGGTTAGCCAGGATGCTCGATCCCTGACCTCGTGGACTCCGCCCATCCGTCCTCCAAAGTGCTGGGATTACAGCTTGAGCCACCGCGCCCGGGCCAGAAAAGCCAAATTAACTCTAAATCATCAAGAGTTTTCTCCATGAAAATCAGGAATGGTCTATAACTGCATTTTTTTTTTGGTGGGTTTGTGGGGGAGATCTGCTTTCTAGCGTGGTCAGGGAGATTCCCCAATTACATTTCCTGTAAGCTGAAATTAGTACACGTAGTAACCCACATACAAAGAAGGTCTTCCTAAGATTTCTCTGCTCTCTCTCAAAGTTCTTAGGTGGTAAATTCGGTAACAGGGGCAGAAGCCATAATTATAGTATATATATAATTATTAAATGTTATTTATTTGATATTGATATTGAGTACTTTAAGTTCTAAGGGTACATGTGCATAGACGTGCAGGTTTGTTGACATATGTGATACAGTGCCGATGTTATGCCTGACTTATTAACTCGTAATTTCACATTAGCATATCTCCTAATGCTATTCCGGTCCTCCCTTCCCCCACCCCATGACAGGCCCCAGTGTGTGATGTTCCCCTTCCTGAGTCCAAGTTTTCATTGGTTCAAATTCGTTCACCTATGAGTGAAACATGCAGTGTTGGTGGCTTTTTGTCCTGTGATAGCTTACGGATGAATGAGGTTTACCAGCTCATCATGATCCTACGAGAGGACAGACTCATGCCTTTTTTATGGCTGCATAGTATTCCATTGTGTAGATGGTGCACAGTTTTTTTTAATCCAGTCTCATTGATGAACATTTGGGTCTTGGTTTGAAAGTCTTTGCTATTGTGAATAGTGCCACAGAAACATACGGTATGGCATGTGTCCTTCTATAATAGGCGATGATTTATAATCCTTGTGGTATATACCCAGTAATGGGAAGGCAGGGTCAAAGGTATTTCGAGTTCTAGACGTCCTTGGAGGAATGGCCCACTGTCTTTCACGAATGGTTGAACTACGTTTACAGCCCACCAACAGTTGGTACAAGTGTTTCCTATTTCTCCCACATCCTCTCCAGACCTGTTGTGTCCTGACTTTTTAATGATGGCCGCCATTCTAACTGGTGTGAGATGGTTCTCTGTGTGGTTGGATTTGCATTTTCTGATGGCCAGTGATGATGAGCATTGTTTTCATGTGTCGTTGTGGCTGATATAATGTCTCTTTGACCGAAGTGTCTGTTCATATCCTTTGCCCACTTTTTGGATGGGGTTGTTTTTTTCTTGTTAAATTGTTTGAGTTTTTTGTTAGGTTCTGGATTATTAACCCTTTGTCAGAGGAGTAGAGTGCAAAGTTTTCTCCAGTTCTGTTAGGTGGCCTGTTCACTCTTGGATGGTAGTTTCTTTTGCTGTGCAGAAGGCTCTTTGAGTTTAATTGGATCCATTTGTCAATTTTTGGCTTTTGTTTTGCGCATTGCTTTTGGTGTTTTAGACATGAAGTCCTTGTGCATGCCTATGTCCTGAATGGTATTGCCTAGGTTTTCTTCTAGGGTTTTTATGGTTTTAGGTCTAACATTTAGTTTCTAATCCATTTGAATTAATTTTTCTATAAGGTGTAAGGAAGGGATCCAGTTTCAGCTTTCTACATGTGGCTAGCCAATTTTCCCAGCACCATTTATTAAATAGGGAATTCTTTCTCCATTTCTTGTTTTTATCACGGTTGTCAAAGATCAGATGGTTGTAGATGTGTGGTATTATTTCTGAGGGCTCTGCTCTGTTTCATTGGTCTATATCTCTATTTTGGTACCAGTACCATGCTGTTTTGGTTACTGTAG